TCAACACATTGTAGACCACTTGCAACTAGCATACCATTATCTTCAGATAGTACTGAAAAGAAAGACTGCGAAGAACTATTTTTTGCTGCTAGTTCTTGCTGAAATTGTATTGTGCTTAATTTGCTGGCAGCACTAGGATTCATAGTTGGTATCTGTCGTACAAAAACGCATAAGCACACTTCTAAAACTGCATACACATGTGAATCGCCAGGCGGAATTTCACCTTTAGTACCACCTTCGCCTAAGTTTTCTATTTCTGTGTTTAGTGAAATATTTTCACTATTATCCGTATTTTTGTGCTGTTCCAGATATACATTCTTTTTTGTTTCCAAGTCTTCTTTTGCGGCTTGTATGGATTGCTTGAGAATTTCCATGCAGAGTAACTGCACCAATAACTCATCTCGCGTTAAAATTTGGCGATGTAAAACGTTGCAAAGTTCAATCGTTAAAGCTTTATCTTTGACTAACTGTTGTCGTGCCCAATTCGAATCGAAAATTGTGTATAAAGATTGTAGACAACTTAAAACATTTTTGGGTTTTTCCGAAGTACGTGTACTACATAATGCTTGCATACAAATTCCAAATATCATATGGAAACGATCTGCTGATAGTGAACCATGTGTTATATTATTATTAGCTTCAAAATTTGTCTTATCCGCAACACCATTAGAATTAGCGGAGTTCGTGTTTAAATGTAAAGCAAATCCTTCATCCTTAAGCCATAAGGAAGCTGCATAAAGTATTGGGGGCCATGATGTCAAATAGTGAGGCTTGGAAGAGTTTATGGTATCAGTAGTGTAAAATGCACCTCCATCATGTGGTAACTGACTTTGAAACTCAGCTGGTAATAATAAAAGCGCGTGATCTTTCATAGCTGCCAGCCAATGCGTCGATAAATTGCTTAATTCTGGCTTAACTAAGCTTAACAAACTTTCACCGTGACTTTCAAAATCACCGAAATCATCATTCATTAAATCACCATTATCTAAGTCTAAGCCTGTAGTTAATGGCGAAATGCTGTTGGTTGTTGTTAGTTTCTTCTGAAACATAGAAGCCGGTGCTGAACCATTGCCGATCATAGCAACAATGTATACTTCAGCCCAAGCTTTTAAAATGCTTAATTTCTCTAGTGTAGCCATAGATTCGTTGTAAAGTTGTGTGCTGTTGGTTTTCGAGTGTAATTTATCAAGTGATGATACTAACAACTGATGTACGCGTCGTAAATCATTCAAATCTCGTGCTACTCCAGAACCAATCCAAGCTGAGCAAACTTCGCATGCTGCCGCAGTTACATGTGATGGTGTATCTGGTGAAAATGCAGGCCTTAAGGCAGCACCAACCTATAAGAAATATAATATATAACAATATTTAAATATTTTTTTAAGTGATCATTCTGGTTAATTTTATTTCTATGTATACCATTTATTTATTAAATAATAATTAACTGAAATAATGAATATTTTGTTATATATAATAATACTCCTCTTGCACTCGTCAGTCTAAGGCAGTCTGAGGCACTTAAATTGAGTATTATTTTATATAAAGTAAATTTGTTCAACAAAAACGAATTAAAAGAAAAATTCAGCAAAAAATTTATTATTGGTTATTGATTACTTAATCTCCTCTTTTGGAAATGCCGAAACATTAGACTAGGTAATAGATCTCCTCTTGACAATATAATCGACAGAAAATATACTGCGAAAACACTGTAATTATTTTCTAATATAAGCCCCCTAGGTACAATCCTGTTTAGGCCACTGTACTGTTTGTCAGATGAATGGCTGATCAATTTCTAAATATAAACCCCATTATGACTATTGACTTATTTGAACAGTATGACTAGACACCCTGATTAAATATATATATTTTCATATAAATTCGATTGTTGCAGGCCTCAGATTTGTTATAATATTTGAACTTATAACAACAACAACAATAACAACAACAAAAAATTTATTAGTAGACGTACTTGTGCTTGGAATTGTTCCAATAATAGATGACCAGGAAATTCCGGTTCAGGCACACCAGCAAATCGATCTATAATTTCCTGTAGTGTACGTAACCCCTCTAAACGTAATTGATCTGAGTCAGAAGTTGCAGCCATGAATGACATACGTATCAATTCTGCTAAATGTAAAATTAAATAATCACCACGAGATTTAATCATTTGCATTTCTTTAGCTTGTATCAAATCAAAATGTATAGGATTTGCTGATTCACAAGTGGAGATAATTTTCCGAACACATTGCGCAGCAAATACACGTGTAGGCCAGCGTGGCTGCACAGCAGGATGTGTTGAAGTATTTTCCTCAGCATGATATTCAGCGACATCATCATCATCCGCATTATCATCATCGTCATTATCATCTTTTGTTGCATTATCTGCTGCATTTGAATTCTTATTAGAAGGATCACTTTTTGTTGTGTTACTTTCATCTTGTATTGCTGCATTTTCCACAGCAACAGTCAAAACATTCTTACAAAGGCTTAACCAAGAGCTAAGGTTATCTGATGCTAACATTTGTAACATGGAAGTAAGCGTATCGTGTATATTTTTCAACATTTCAGCATCAGTTTCTGAATCTAGCATAGCGAATAATAAACCAGGAAGCCCAAACTCGGTGATGACAAGATCCGGATACTGTTCTGGTGTAATTGAAAGCGCTAATTCACATATTTCTTTAGCTTCTCGATGTGATAACTGTCGAGCCATACGTACAGCAGCTTTGCGTAACATAAGATAATTACTTGATAATGTATTAACTAGTGTAGGCACTAGAGTTGATAGGTTCACGGTTTTCGGAGCAAACAGATGCAATTGCTGTAGACAACCGGTAGCTTCAGCCTGCACAAGTGGATCGGAGTGTGCTTGCATTATCGAAGCCGCGCACAAGAATGAAGACCGCATAGCACAAACAGCGACTGCATTACCCTGAATATAATATCATGATTAATGTTAATGTAAATAGAAAAAAATTATATTCTACTTACTTGTAATTCTGGACCAACAGTTGTAATTAATGCATTCAGCAAACGTCCAACACACTGGTGTACATCAACATTAGAGTGTGGTACCGCAAGTAAAAGTTTCAAACTTAACGATAGAGTAGCTTCTACATAATTACGGAACATCGGCCCACCGGAATCGGCTATAAGCGATAGAGCATACAACGACCAAACCTGCACAACTGGTGATGAGGTGTCTTGTGCTAGTGCCAACAGTATAGATACACTTGTATTTAAATGCTGTGAAGACCCCATGCCACCAACGTAACGATGCAAACATCCTAAAGCCAAAGAATGACCTGTACGCGTTATAACATCTCTGGCAGATTTTAGTTTATCAAATGAATTTTGTGCCAATTCAGCCGTAAATCGAGAATCGCCTACGACTTGTGCCATACGTCCAAGTGCTTCGCCAGCTGCACAACGTAGTGTAGCATTTGAGCTGACCAATGCAGCAACAATCAAATTAGTTGCACTTTTCTTAACGTTTTCTTCACCAATGCCTGATTTACTATCGGTTAAACCTTTTAGACCGCTTAGGAGCGCAGTGAATATATTCATTTGCACAGCTTCTTGGCGGCTGCTTTTAGCTTGTCGAATGCACTCACCAAAATGTTCCAACATCTGTAAACGGTGTTTGTTGGCGACTTTTGGAAAGATTAGGCCGAATAACGAAACCGACATATCAATAACTGCCACACCTAAAGGCAGTGGACCAGGACATTGCTCTATTTTATTACTCGCATTTAGGGCATTGCTAATGGCTGCTGCGCTCATAACACCAACTGTTGGAGGACGATACAAGCAACAAGGATCATGTTCTAAAGCACCCGACCCAGCGGCGCTATTTGGTTGCAACTGCAATTTTACAGCAAACAATATATGCATTATTATATGTGTAGAATGATATCAAAAAATGTAATTCATATGTATGTATAAATAAAGTACAAAGTAAAAGGAAACCATTATGCATTTTATAAAGCTGTACAACAAATCGATAATCTTATATTATTAAGCTTTAAAAATTCAAGCAAATGAGAGAAAATAAAAGAAAAATTTTTAATATAAGAAAGGATAACATACATGCACGTACGAATTCAACGAAAAACTAATAAAAATCCTTGGCTCAACGCCAAATAGTGTAGAGCTTAGAAGTAGCAAACTAAATGCTCTTTAAGTGAAACCATAAAAACACAAGAAATACAGCGAAATAAAATTTTAGTTCACAGAAAACACAAACAACACTTACATGCTCCCCATCTGATTTACGA